AAAAGGCGGATGGCAGGATGGAAAGAGGGGAGAACAGAGGCAAGAGAGGGGGCAGGGAAGTGTTGAGATTGTTATAAACATGGAGGAATATGTGAGTATTGAAGGAGAAGACAGGAAATCATTTAACATAGGTAAGAGAGTAAAGAAGCAAAATTGTGAGGGACAGAAAGGAAGGAGTGGAAGAGAACGTGCCGAAAGGTACGGACGGAGGGAGATTAAAGAGAAAATAAGAGGCAGCAATCAGAAGATGGGAGGTGATTAAGGAGAGGCAGTAAAAGAAAGGCAAAAGGAATAGAAGAGTTTTAAAAATATATAAAAACTGAAACACAGAACTAGCAAGTCAGTCAGGTCACAAGTGACATCCATAGGAAATGGGTGGACAGGACAGGATCCTTTCCCTTTCCATCTAGCAGTGCTTCTCATTCTCCACCAACCAAGTGACATCCATAGGAAATGGGTGGACAGAACAGGATCCTTTCCCTTTCCATCTACCAGTGCTTCTCATTCCCCACCAACCACACATCCCTCCTGTCTCCAATGAAGTTCCCTCTTTCACTTCCTCTCCTTGCTTCTGCAGGAGGCAGAAGGCCTCCGCTCTACTTCCTCCTCTTGCTGTCATCTTCCACTCTTTATTCACCAAACCACACACATCCTGCAGCATCACTGATCTAGGAAGACCTGGTAGTACCTATTCTTATGTCCTCCAGCTCCTTCCCTTTCCAGCTAAAAGACAGCAGGTAGGGCAATGGTAACAATGCTGGACAAGGACTGTGGAACTCAGGTTATAACCTTCAACCATTCACTACTTTTCACACCTAAGTATTTCAGTGTTCTTCTGTTAAGTACAAAAAGGAGCCTGTATGCCACCTTGTGCTTCATGGAAGAAAGGCAAAATGTAAATGTAATAAATAAACAAACTCCGGTATTCCCCAAAATATCATTGCCACCTTGGATCTATAATATAGGTTTTTGGCTCTATTGTTTTTAAATTTGTAAAGCGCCCAGAGTAGATCTTTGGTCTAGATGAGTGGGATAGAAATCCAATAAATAAATAAACAAACAAATAAATCTCTGCATCTAACCATTGTTTCTCATTGTTTTACGCTTTAAATATGGTATTTAAATGAGGTAAGCCGCCTTGGGTCCTTTTCAAGGAGAAAGGTGAGGTACCCGAGTCACCCGACACAGACAGCAGGGACGGCTGAGGGGACTGACGCCGAGGGAGGCCCAGAAAGAGACAACAAGAAACCGGGCCTTCTCGGTGGTTGCCCCTCGGCTGTGGAACACACTCCCCACTGAAATCCGGCTGGCACCCTCGCTGGGGGTTTTCAAAAGCCAATTAAAAACTTGGTTGTTTAAACAGGCCTACCCCCCAGTCAATTAAGTCATTCTCCTTTTCTCTTTCTCTATCTTTTTTTTTTTATATCACCATCTTGGAAACCTTTTCTTTAGAATTAATTTGTATAAATGCATTTTATATGTTTTTTAACTTGTTTTAACTGATGTAAGCCGCCCCGAGTAGACGCTGTCTAGAGGGGCGGGGTAAAAATCGAAAATAAATAAATAAATAAATAAAAGCTGGAGGTGGGCAATTGGGGACATCCAGACATTCTTCAACTACAGCTCCCATATTCCTCACCATTAGCTATACTGGCTAAGGTCAAGTTGCAATTCAGCGACTCTTTGAAACTATACACTTCCCACCATGATCTAACTCTAAAGATGGCTGTATCTGCTTCAATAATCTCTGAGGCACAGTCTTGAAGGTTTTCTCTTCCTGGCGCCCTTCCTGCCATCCCTTCCTTCTTTGATCAATTCTATGGGTGATTTTACAGTATCTCTTTCCCCCCTATCGCATTACCCATCATGTGAAATGTTCTCTTCAAGCTTCCAGAGAGTACTGCTGAGTATCTAGGATTTCCTGCTGACAACTACCTACAGCAATAGCTTCTCTGACCAGAATGGCATAAACAGGCATTTGTCTCCAAAGCTTATCAATTGATCAAAGTTCTGACCTTGAGTTATCTTCACTCGGGATAGATCAGAAGGCAAATACAGTCTACCTCCATTACAAGGAACCATAGGCTAGCCTGGGGCTTGGTCAACCATGGATGAGCCAAGAATGTGATTTCCTGAAAGATATTCTACCATGGTTTTTTTCCCCTCCTTGTGTACATGAGTTTACAAGCCTCCACACCTAGAAATGGAAACTTGTAATACTCTGTCTATTTTGAAATGGTGGAGAAAGGATGATCAGCTCTGGAGCACCAGCACCCCCCTCCCCAAGTACCATCATATATACTAGCTCTCAGGACAAACTTCCTCATTTTATAATAGACTTTGTGCCATCAAGCAGCAAACATTCAAGAGTTATGAAACACATCTATGTGTGAACATTTAAACATACATCTTTTAATCAACTGAAATACAGACTTTGTTTCATAAAGCTTAGAAGTATTTTTTTTTCTTTATGACTACAACTGTAGGCAGACAGAATCTTTACTGACAGACAGAATCTGTGTAGGCAAATCTTTACATGTCTTGATTTAAAAACGAGTACAGCTACCGGCAGCCAAACAAAGTTGGCTCAGAGACTGGATTTGACCAAAACCCTGACAAATGGCCACCCTTCCACTACACTCTGCTCCCATTCATAAGTCCCAGAAATCCCACTTTTCTACCATTATGGTGAACTGAGAGCCAATTTAACATAGTTGTTATGAGCTAGACTGAACTGATGGAGCCCCGAGTGTGAGCTGTATCAGACTGACTGGGTGATCTTATTCCAGGGTCCATCTCTCTGTCTAACCTACTGCAAAGTACTGCTGCCAAGATAAAACAGATGTGGGGTGGAGGGAACCATCTACACTATCTTAGACTCTTGCAAAAAAAAAAGCAGTACTAAATTAAACAGGATCAGAAGAAGCTGCTTTATACTTCATACTGTAGGTCCACTTAAGTTCTGTAATGTTAACACCAGCTGGCAGCAGTTTTCCAGGGTCTCAGGCAGGTTTCCTCCATATATAGAGTTGCTGAGAAATGAACCAGGAATCTTTGTCATGCAAGGTAAGTGTGCTCCCAATGGGTCATGATCTTTTCTTTGAGTAATTTTAGTTTAAGGTTCTTGGTTCACAAAATACACATGACTGGGCACCTGGATTCCCAACGCTACCTGTTTGTTTTCTGAGCTAGTCCTGGCTGGTAAGTTTCTGTTTAATCCTATACATTTATGCACATCGCCAGGAATTGTGAAACCTGGTCCTGGACAATGGCGAACACAAGGAAAAGGTGTGCAGGTGAAGTAGTGGCTCCAGACAGCTTGAGAGGATTCAAGTAGCCTGCTAACAGTTAAGCCACTAAACACCGATCTAGTAAAACGGGCTAATGTGTGGGAAATAACAAAGTAACAGCGAAGAAGGAATGTCTCAAAGCATAAGTGTTCCAGCTCACATTTGGAAGATCTCCGTCCCAAATGTTCATTGTCCACTGTGTCACTTGACCATTCAACCTTCTTGGCTGGTTTTCGTTTCCTCAGTTTGATGGTGAGACTGCGATTCTCCTGGGAGAAGAAGGATAAGAGAGAAAAGTTTGTAACATGCATAACTGAAAATGGTATGCTTCTTCACCACTCAGAATACCATTACCTGATTTTCTACCTTCAGGGATCACTTTCTACACAGACCTGTCTGACTAGGAATCATGTTCCACTCCCACCATACCTCTTCCTACTTTTCTCATCAAGCTTTACCCAGAGCCAAACATGTCCAAGCCACAGTCCTTTCCACAGAGGTATGAAAACTCAGAGAGAAACATCTAGGCATAGGCTGGATAGAACTGTCAGGTGGATACACTGAAAGTCTTGCCCAGTACTGCAAACAATAACTATCTGTTGGTAAACAAACCCAGACTACAGACATATTATCATAGTAAACTTTAATTTTACATTTATAAATGTTCCCCAAATGATTATAAAATCAGCCATGATTTTCAAAGCATCAAGAATCCCTCCCTACCATAATTTGCTTGCTAAGGTATGCTCTGAATCTACCAAGTTGCATGTGTCAATCGAGAATTTCACTAAGCTACCATATCACAATTTCTGTGCCATTATTTAGAACAGTGGTTCCCAACCTTGGGTAACCCAGGTGTTCTTGGACTGCGTCTCTCAGAAACTCCAGCCAGAATAGCTGGTGGTGAGTTTCAGTTCAAGACTACCAAGGCTGGGAACGACTGCTCTGGAAGAAGCAGGGATGAGAAAGGCTGACATCCAGTCATAATTATTCATTCTATAAACTCATGGGCAACATGTTCCTCAATGAGAATTTTTTAAAACCCATCTTTTAGTAAAACAACATCCTTTCTCCCTATAAGAATATCCCTTACAATTATGTTAACAAAATGAAGTAAAATTATTTCCTTGTTCACTCTGTTCTAGGAACTTCAAGCAACCACTTGATGGGTCAGCAAGGATCTTGATTTTAATAAAAGGAGGAAAGGGGGGGGAAAGTTAGGCACGTTCTTTGCATCAAAAGAAAAGAATTCTCTCCAAACCACCACATTAGTTCCCATATATGGAGAGGGAAAACATTATTTATTTATTTACTTTAATTTGACTCCGCCCATCTAGACTGAAGTCTACTCTGGACGGCTAACAACATTCCAAGAACAATAAAATAAAATAAAACAACAACACTGATACAACTGGATGGAGAAATAAATTAGGTATTGACAGGAGGGAAGGCCTGCCTAAAGAGCCAGGTCTTGAGTTGGCTCTTAAAAACACCCAGCAAGGGAG